ACTCAATGAAAAAGAAGAGTGAAAAGGCGAGACTGTTGACAAGTTTTCAAATAGCAAATGGAAACCAGCCATAACATGCTAGTGTAAGAGTGTCAGTTTATGTAGCTTGATCAAAAAGTTTTAGGAATAACCACTATGTAGGGCTAGTAGATAAACAGTGTTGGGTCGTTACAACTTTTTTGCATGGTTAAATTACCGTATTGTGGCCGGTTCTATGTATTGCTATTGGGGTCCTAGGTTCGAAAATAAAATATTGACTTAGTAGAAAATAAATCTTTATATTGTGCCTAAATACAGTTCTGTGGCCGTCGCGTATTCGCGGGTGAGAGGGGATAACAGAAAGTAACACAGGCTTGGGACCATGCGTCTGCAGATAAGGTCGAAAGTCCAGCTCCTGCGAAACTTCAGGCGTCAGCAAGGAACGTCGGTAGGTACAGCCGACGACTGTCCGCTTCGTTCAAATGGTGTAACTGTTTCCCGGCTAAAAATCCTCCGGCAACCTTTGGGAAACAATACTGGACTCTCGAGACGGTCCCAACGGCCAACGGTTCAACATTTAAAATAGGAGTTGGAGAGACTGGCGATACAATTGTTTACGTGAAATTTCTTTTAGAGGAGAGACATCATTACAACTGTTATTAACGTTAGACAGTATTTGAACTCACCCTAGCGGGAACTATGAACACAACTTTAGGTTACGAGCCCGACTTGGCTCGAGAAGGGGGCACGTCCGCCCCGAATGATTTCGTGGCTAAGACTAGAAATTCAAATCATACTTCATGCATAGCGTTATAGAATTAACATTTTGCCTTTGACGTAGTTAACGGAAAAAAATTAAGAACATTTAGTTTAAATTTTATACCTGATTGATATTGAGACCTATATTGACGTACAACGTTACAGTATATGTTACTGACATCTCACTTTATTTCATCTTCATTGCTTGACATATGTTTAAGTTAAGCTGATTCAAGTAAATCAGACTTTAGCCTTTTTAATCTTTGTTTCTCTTTTACCTTGCTGAAGATGTTACGGAATGAAGCAGAGTGTATGGAGTGCGTAGAATTTAAATGACAGTTCTACATACCTACTAAAGCACAACTAATCCTAATCCGTAGCGCGTCATTTCAGTTGTGTTGTGACAAGAGTTATTGTTAACTGGACGGAATAATTACTTGGCAAAAATACTAATTCTAAGTGGGTAGTCCTATGAAATTGAAGATACACTGATAGTGGGTCGATGAATAGAAAAGATCGGATCAGAGGGATCATAAGCCTTATGTGATTACTCTTCATGTATTAAAACATAAATATACATAAGTACCAACCATGTATCGGTATACTAGTTAATTTGTTTCAAAAGAAGCAACCATCACCAGTTCGAGCTAATAGTTCTAATTTTGCTGACCATCCATTCGAACAATGCGTTAATAAAACGTCGCGTGAGGGAAAATGATTTGAGGCATGTGGCCGATAAGGGGGCGCCGGTTCGGTAAATGAAACCGGTAAAGCAGTTCGGCAACAAGAATGTGAGACCGCGAATATACGACGCATGCTCCAGAAACGTATAATGCAAATGAACATAACTCACAGATGGTTTTTAATGCTAAAATTACTTTAGTCCGTCGCAATTAACATAGGCAACCGGTAGACGCGTCAAAATAATTTATTTTATTTCCTTTATTTTGGTGAGCACTTGAATTGGAATGTACGAGCAAATTGAATGTGCGCCTTAGTCACATACTATTAAATACGAATATTCTGTGCACTACAAATCTGTGTCTGCTATCGACCATAGTGCAATTTTAATACGTTATAAATCAAGAACATTCATGGAATATATGATTATCTTTATATATATAATTCTTCTGTGAGTGTGTATGTCACTGAACTTCTCTTAAACGACTGGACCGATTTTGATGAAATTTTTTGTGTGTGTTCAAGGGGATCTGAGAATGGTTTAGATTCACAATTTTGTCCGCTGGACAACCCCTATTTTTTTAGGGCGGTACGAAGTTCGCTGGGTCAGCTAGTGTTATATATATTTGTGTATATTTGCACTTGAAAACGCCATCATATTCTATTTACGTATAAATCATTAAAACTTTATTGCCATGAATCTACCAGAATTGAATAACCTATGCGATAATAAACAATACTCATTTTGTTTCCCACTATGTCCTACGGTGTTCTGATACACAAACACACTAATATTAAACTTCTTCCTTCTATCCAAAACTAAATTAAAAGAAGAATAATATTACATATTATAAAAACATGTTTAAAAATACTTACATTAAACGTAAATAAAAATATCATATCTTAAGGGCTAGCGCATACTACAGCCACGCCGCAGCGCAGCGGATTGCAAAATTACGCCAAAGCACATTGGAGTCGTATCGGGGCGCGACACAACGCGAAGATTGAATTAGTCTGCAGTGCCGTTGGCAATCCAAACCAACAGATAGTTCACACGAATAATTATATGGCATCGATATGCTCTTAACAAGTTAAGGAAAAATACAAACAAAAAAGGACTACGTTTCCTTTTTTGTTTACAGCATATCGAGAGTTCACGAATTTACAAAAAAAAGTATTTGTGTAATTTCACACCTTTATTAAATACCGGCCCGATGCGGCCCGCCTGTAGTGTGCGATAGTTCAAATAAAATTTGTTATGCGATGCATTGCGGTACGGCCCGCAGTAGTTTGCGCGAACCTTAACGGAAGCATAAAATACTCGCAGGCACTGATCACTACGAATATTACTCATTACTTTTATTGCTTGCTGTTCAAAGCTCTACTAAAAATGGTCATAATGGAACAACCCACATGAACATTTAAATCAAATTTTGTTTTTACGCGACTATCCACCACAACTTCTAAATGCCCTATAGCTGATTTGTATATTTGGCTTTTAATAAAACAAGCATGGGAATTTTTCCGTCAACTGCCTGGGTCTGAGTAAATTTTTTTCTAGTAGAATTTTCTATAGAATAAACTTCTAGCAGTTAAATTTTTAAAAAGTATAATAGGTTGGGGGAAAAGACTTTTCGTATTATAATTTATAATTCGGAAAGCCATTACATACTAATGTACAAACTTGTAATAAAATCTCTTTGACTATACCATTTGTATCTGGCTGGTTTTGGTATCATTAAAAAGTTTAAATTTTTAAGAAGACCATTCCAAATGAAAATCAGAACAATGTGTGATTTTCATTTGTTTTACTTACTGCCAAGATGAGTGAATCTAATGAAGAAATTCTAAACATTTAAAATTTTACTACAAAAAAGGTAAGAGTGCAACGCAAGCTGCGATTTTTTTTTGTGTTGTTTATGGACTTAGTGCAGTATCTGTGAGAATAGCACAAATCTGGTTTAAGCTTTTTTAATCCGGAAATTTTGATATCAAAGATGCACGTCGTTCTGTTACGGATGAAATGGATGCCATTTTTGAAAAAGTGGAGCAAGTTCGGCGTATCAGAAGTTACGACGTAGCTGAAGAACTAGGAACTGACCACAAAACAGATTTGGCGCTTCTGAAAAAAGTTGGGTACACAAAAAAGCTCGATATTTGGGTGCCTCACGAGCTCACCGAAAGAAACCTAATGAACCGTGTACTCATTTGTGATAACTGGTGATGAAAAGTGGATCACATAAGACAAGTACATGCGAAAATGGTCGTGGTCTAAGGCCGATCTGGCATCACAGACTCTGGCGAAACCCGGGTTAACACTCAACAAGGTGATGTTGTGTGAATGGTGGGATTGAAGGGGGGCATTATTCATTATGAGCTGTTACCGCCAGGCAGGAACATCGATTCTGAACCCTACTGCGAACAACTGATGAGATGAGATTAAAGCAAGAACTTGAGAGAAATCGGCCGGAATTTAAAGCAACAGAAGTGGTGTGGTTTTTCATCATGATAACTATAGATCTCACACATCTTTAGTCATTCAGCAAAAATTAAGATAGTCTGACTGGGAGGTGTTAATGCATCCGCCGTATAAGTCCTGATTTTGCACTTTCAGATTTGCATCTGTTTCGGTGTCTTCAAAATTCTTCACGTTAACATCACGAGAGGACTGCCAAAACCACTTGTCGCGGTTTTTTGAGCAGATGCCAAAATTTCTATATCAATGGGATCATGTCCCTACCTACAAGATGGCAAAAAAGTATCGAACAAAATGGCACCCACATACATAGTTTAGTTAAATGTTAATAAACTTTATTAAAAAATATTTTGAATTTTCATATAAAATGTGATGAAACTTTTTCCCAACCTAAGATATTAAAGAAATATATACACAATTAATAAGCCCAGTCTGGTATTTACGTTGGTACGAGGACAAGGGAAGTCGTCAACATGCAGTATGTGCGCTATCTAGAGATTGCCGCGCTGAAATCGCACCATAGCCACACCGTTATCAGATAACTTAGCGCCGATAACCCGATCGCTAGCTTAGTCAAATCGAATACATTACCTCTTTTACACGTACTTTGTTATTCTTAGCTCAGTTTTACAAAATTATTGCCCACTAACGTTTTGTGCTCATCTTGTTGAATGTGTGGCAATAATAATGTTCTGTACTAATGTAAGTACTCAGTATTCCTCTAAAGGACGCATAAAAATAATCAAATCCTCGGCCTTTCTTAAAAATGGTTATGAAATTTTATTTTTAAACTTTTGAATTGCAATAAAATAAATATTATTCTATACACTTTCCCCGAGACTTTCCTCATTTTATCAAATCAAAATGATTTTAACGTAGACTAATGTGTTAACTTAGACGAAACTACTAAACGAGTAGACGAGTGCAGTGAAAAGGGTAATAATTAATGAATTTGAATATAACGAAAGATGTGTTTAAGGAACGTGCCAACGTGGTAAACCCTATGTTATAATAATAACATCTTTAGACAGATATATGATTTTATATTGCCAATGTGAGAAATGTAGAAATGATGCCATAATAAGAATTGATTATTATGTTCTAGGACGTGAGTGCCGGTGTGCAATGGTGACGTAAGCCGGCAGCATGCGCTGGTTGAAGTGGCGGACTGCGCTGGTGTCAGTACTGGCACTGGCGGCGTGCGCGCGCTCGCAACGCGCGGAACCGACCATCTGCGAGGAAGAGTTCTGCCGCTGCGACTCTTTCACCACGGTCATTTGCAACTGTGTTTCTGATAACGTATGTACTTGTGCACTATTACATATATATATTTATTAGCAATCCCCCTTTAGTGGTGTGATGATTATAGGTTTGGAAAAATAAGAGCAATATGAGTCCTTTGACCCAACACAGCTGATACAATAGATCTAGGTAGTGTAACGCGCAAGAAAGAGGTGCAATGTGCTTTGTACAACTAACCAATATAAAGCACAGAGGACATATTGACTAAATCATTTAGCGTGAAATGATATATTAAAGAGAAGGTATTCTATTTTATGACATTTAAAAAAAACCCGCCATGCCTTGTGAATATATGAGTCAGCGAAAGTTGCAATAAAATACCAAGATGGCCTTAAAATTCGTGGAAAATTAGGTTTGCTACTAGATGCAAGTACAGTCGCCATCAGATATATCTGAGCATACAAGATGACCAAATACATCTGAACAGTTAAAATGTCAATAAGTTCTATACACTACAAGTGACCATAAATATCTGATCATTCATTACTTCAATAATATCTGAGCAGATGCCTGTCAATAATATCTGAACATACAACTTTTCAAAAATATCTGAACAATTTTAATAGGACCTCTTAATTATTTATTTATAATAAGATGACGCTGGCAGCTAAACACTTTCCAGTTTTTATTCTTATCACCTCTGTCATGTGTCATGCACAAATAAATTCAAGCAGCTTGCTTACGTATTAGTTCATACCATAAATTAACTATAATTAATATGAGTTCGTACCGTATTGATGCGGAAATGAAACATAAAATAATACAACTAAAAAATGATGGTTCATCCGTAAAAGATATCGCCGATGAGCTAGGGATAGCCGTAAGTATCACGGAGAAAAATGCTAAAAATCAATTGCCCACAAAACATGAAACTTTATTCACAAAGTATAAAATTGTATTTATTTCAGAGAAATACTGTATATTTATGGCTAGAAAGATGGCAGCAAGAAGAAACATTAAATAATCATGTTTCATTTGGTCGCCCGCGTATTACTACAATAAACCAAGACATAGCTATTATAGATAAAGCCAAAAATGACAGATTTATAAACACTACACAATTTTCAAGCACATTCGAAATATCCACTAGCACCATTAGAAGACGATTAAAAGAAGGAGGTTTAAAAAATAGAGTACCGGCAAAAAAACCAACTCTCACGCCAAGGCACAAAATGCAGCGGCTACAATTTGCAGCTAATTATTTAAATTTTAATTTTCAAAACGTTATTTTCATGGACGAAAAGGTTTTCTGCTCATCAGATAATGGGCGATTAAGTTTGTGGCGACCCGAAAACACACGTTACTTAGAACAAAATGTGCTGCCTAATCGCCGGAGTGGACGTATTTCAATTGGATTTTGGGGATGGATGTGCAAAGATGGTCCTGGTGAGCTTGTGGAAATAAGTGGACGAATGAATGCAATGAATTATAAGGAACTTCTGGAAGATACTTTTCTTCCTACAGCTCAAGTTTTTTATCCAGAACAACAAATTACATTCCTTCAAGACAACAGCTCAGTACATAATGCTCGTACAGTACAGACATGGATTAATGAACAGAGAGAACTAACTTTAATCAAACTACCACCAAAAAGTCCAGACCTCAATCCCATCGAAAACCTTTGGGGTAAAATGGTGCAAGAGTGGGATGGGAATCAATGTCGAACAACAGAAGCCTTAAGGCGACATGCAAATGATGTTTGGGAATCGTTCAGAGGTCGAGGTTTTTGTGAGAAGGTAGTTGGTTCCATGAGGAAACGTTTACAAGACGTATTAAATGCAGAAGGAGGTTACACAAAATACTAATGTTTCATGAGAAGTATATAATTGGTCAGCCTTTAAATAATTTGGTCGGCACAAAAAGATTTTGTAAGCAATTTAAAAAATCAGGCAGCAATCCTTGTTCGGCAAATAATTATATAATGGACAAAAAATTAATATGAGAGTATACAAGATGGCTCATTTAAATGGGTCAGTATGGGAAAGTTTGAACTATAATATATACGAAGATCTGTTCTTAGGAACTAGAAATAGGAAATAGTGTAAGTCTTTTTTTTCAAAACGACCGGATTTGATTCCCGTGCTGATCACAGGGTTTTTCTTAAATGTATGAATGCAGTTTTTATTTTTATTAAAATCTTGTTCCTAAGAACAGATCTTCATATATATTATAGTTTCAGACTTTCCCATCCTGACCCATTTCAATAAGCCAACCTGTATAATGAGAGTGGAGGGTTACACGGGGAGAGGAAACCGAAGAAAAAAAGATGGATAGATTGTGGGAATGAGGACATGGCCAGTAAGGGAGTGAGTGTTGATATTGCGAGTGATAGAGGAGAATGGAAGCGGAAGACATGTTGCGTCGACCACAAATAGAATTGGGAAAAGGGCATGCAAATGATGATGGTCAAAAATGAAATCATAAAAAGGCAGCTTACAATAACATGGATCTGCAAGATTTCATAATTCGTGTCTGTACTGTAGATTGGTTAGCAGAAGAAAACATGTCTATAAGCAGTATATTTGAATAGTATGCATATTTAAAAACCAGTCAAGTGCGAATCGGATTCGCGCACGAAGGGTTCCGTACCATTATCTAAATAAATATTTTTATATTGAATTAAATGTAAATTGCGGTAATTGCTTGATCTCGTTCAAATCAACTTTTGCTAGAAGTTTGCATGGTAATGTACAGACACGAGCTTTCATCTGGGCCCCACCTTTGAATATCGTGTAGCAATCTGCTGCAAGCTGTATAAAGCTAATATTTTAATGCAACGTCAATGTCATAATGTTTACCATTGACAACTTTACGTTACTAGGGGCAACCATGCAATTACGTCATCTGAAGCGACAGCAAAAGATCATTTCCGATGTTATGTTATGTTCCGTTTCCGAATTATACTTTGTAAAAATGTCACATTAAACTGTTTTTTTCACTGACACTGACACGAAATAGTATTTTATAAAGAGGTTATCATTTCAAGGGTCGATTCATTATGACATTATGTCATCAAAACACTATCAAACTAAAATTTCGACCTTATTGCATTATGAATTCTAACAACATTTAGTGGAAATGGGTCCCATATTTCATTTATAGACCTATCAATTTTATAGACCTATCCATACCCCACACGTAAAGATTTGATAAAAAAAAAATCTAAGTCCATACGTTTTTTTTTCTATTTTTGTATGAATATCGTTTTTTTGCCATTTGGCTACGGAACCCTAAAAATGGTGAGCAAAATAACTAATTCGTCTGCGTTTTTGTTGAAAATTCGACAATATACGTTACGGCCGTCTACGTCTGTTAGAAATTCCCGTCTAAACGGGCATTGATAATATTGGGAAATTATTAAGCTAATAATAATACGCTAATTTCAAGAACCTTACTAATTGCCTGATAACTTTTTGATTTGATCTCATGTATAATTATAACAATAAAACGTTACTATTTAATTTTAAACTCATTGTATCAGAAGTTGCTTTTTTTTATTTCGATCTCGATTATAATTTTATTATAATAATAAATACTTAAGCTTGAGCATCTACTGAGGTAGTGTACCAAGTTAATTCGTTTACATTTTTGATTATTTAACTCAATAAAAATTTATAAGAATTAAAATTGTTTTTTATTAATTTTCACTTTTATAAATAATACATACCCAAACCAAACAAACACATCCACTCAGACAGTAAATAAATTTTTTGTAAGGATGGCGCCCAGTTTGAGCATGACAAGTACAGAATTCCATTTTCCACTGCAGTGGAAATAGTGGGACAAATGTTTCCTCCAAATTATTACTTATTTCTATTTCGGTTAAAAAACGCAGTTGTCTTATTTTTAAATAAATTTCTAAGGAGATATTGAGAATTTAATCTATAGAATAAAATAAAAACATAACTTCTCGTTAATTATAAAAAATAAATAGAGAAAAAATTAGGCATCTTCCATTTCTACTACTCGTGGTGACCTACACGAATGATTTTCTGATAGATTTTTATTCCCTTCTCATCGTATTTATTCCTTATATTTAGCCTTTGTTTTTAGTTCATCCTTTCAATCACACAGTAACAAAATATGTAAGCCCAGTGCATGATCTGCGTAGATACATAATCATTGACGTGTTCAGATATTATTGAAGTAATTAATGTTCAGATATTTATGGTCACTTGTAGCGTATAGAACTTAATGACATTTTAACTGTTCAGATGTATTTGGTCACCTTGTATGCTCAGATATATCTGATGGCGACTGTACTAGCGCCATTTAGATGTGTCACTCGTTGCCCACAAAGTGGAGATTGGTGGTTGCTAACAACCACAGATGCAGCCGGAACCAATAGGTTAACCTTACTTCCGAAGCACGCAGGAGCTCAAGCTTGTTTAATTACAGCAATCTTAGACTATCTCGCCTACTCTTGTGACTTTGGACGTCCTTCACTTAATCTACTTTAATTATAAACTAATATACCTATGTCTCTTTGTATTTAATATTGTTTATCTTCATTTTCACAGGAGGTAACACTGAGGCCCGACGGTGCTTACAGAGTGCCATCGACGACGTCGGGTATAGTAATCAGAGGCTGCTCCCGTGTTAATTTCTTGCCCGACCTGGCAAGGAACCTTATCCAACTGAGGACCATAGAGTTGACCAATGTCATGGACGTAATCATCAACGAACGAGCCCTGTCGTGGTCACCATTTTCTAGGGAGAATGAAATGCACCCTGGTCTGCGAATACTCATACAGAACAGTACTGTTAACCAATTATCGTCTTACGCTATTCAAGGACGTGTTAATGATATAATTATCACTGACAGCAGAATTAATAATGTGAGGCCATACGCATTTTCTAGTCTCACGGGTGTAAGAAATATAGAATTAAAGAATAATTTGTTATATAATATAGAAAGACATGCTTTTAGTAAATTCACCACAGTTAATTTCTTATTAAGAGGAGGCACTGTGGATACACTGCCTAGTAGATTTTTATCAGATGTAGAGGTAACGAACTTATTTCGAGTAGAGGGAATAGCGGTAAAACATATTAATAGTGTAACATTTCTTGTCAGTTCACCAAAGAGAGTCTTGATTGAGAGTAATTTAATAGAAACCCTAGATCCAGACGGATTCCACATAACCACAAGGGGACCAATCACTTTTAGAAATAATACTGTAAGTACTTTTAGTAGAGGTGCACTGCTCGGGTTTACTGTGGACCCGGAAGTGATATCCGTGAAAGGGCGCCAGGAGCTACTAGTGGACAACAATACAATAACGCATATATTGCCATCTTCTTTGGTTTACAACCAAACAACGCTATCATTACGTGTGGATGGATTAAATCTGAACATTACGTGTAACTGCAAACTAACAGAGAAATGGAAGGACCTACTAAAGGAGGAAGCCGGCATTGTGACTTGTTGGTACGATTTGGAAGCTCACTTTATGTCTGTGCCGACCTTTGCAGACAGCCGTTGTGGAACATTCAAGCGAACATTTTGGATATTTATAGTGGTCGGCATAGTGGTAGTTTTAATCGTTGCAGCTCTCGCTACGTACTACATAGTAAGACGAGAAACTGAGAAAAAGAAAAAAGTACAGATAGTGATGCCTGACGGCAAAACTTACAGAGAGACAGAGTTCCACATTGTTGTGGAAAGAGCGGAACTATTAACAACCAACCTATGAAAAAATAATGTCAGCGAAATTAGCACTTGATCAGTTTACTATATAGGTTAAGTACTCTTGGAACGAAAACCGTCAATTTGAAATGTGCCAACGCTATAATTGTTAAGATTCTTCACGATTAGAAGGTCTTAGGCTAAGAACTCACGCGGAGCGGTTTCTCCCGCACCAGGTGTGACCGGTCAGGACAGGTCAAAATTAATCCCTTAGAATTTTTGATAAACATTGGTCAAAAGGATATTAGGTGCATAAATTGAGAGGAATTAGTGCGCCTAATATCTTAATAATATTTAAAAAGCTAGCATTTTATTTCAAGTTTTTTTTTTTATTTGAAATAAATTTCCTAAAGTTTATACATGTCTATTTTCTTGACATTTCAAAAAAATACGATTTGCCAAATAGACGCTCTGCTATTTGGAAGATTCGCTACTTTTTTTTATAGCGAGGTAGGCAAATGACTCTATCCCACCTGATGTTAAGTCGTGATTAATTCCAAACATAGACATTTTGCTATATTTTTATATTTATATAAGGAATATATATTATTATTATATATCTATACTAGCAAACCAGGCGAACTCCGTTTCGCCATCAGATGGCTTCGTTTTATGTAACATTTCGTTTGGTGAATAAAAGAAGAATTTTTTTTTTGAAATTTTTCCTGAATTTTCTTTGCTATAAACCTCACGGAGCCCGAGACCTTTCCAACGAATGCAAAACCGTGGAAATCGGTTCGTGCGTTCTGGAGTTATAGCGTCAGGAAGGAAAACCCGACTTATTTTTTTAAAGTAGATTTTGACATTTTTGGCTTACTACTCAAACTCATTAGACGTTTAGCGCTGTTGGGCGTTTTATTACCTAGACCTTCCGATCGTGAGGGGTGACGTTAAGTTTATCAGTATTATTTGGTATAGTCTACCAATAGGCAACAAAAGTTATCATAATGTTATTATTTATTATTTTTATAATAAAAAGTGCCAATTAGAATTGTTTGTTTAATTTTGATGTGTATAAAGAGTTTTTTTTTTTTAATTTAAGTGTTTTTTTTCTGTATAGTTAGCCTCTGTCACTCCTGTGCAACCAGCATCGTATAAAGCGAATATGTACATACCTAAAATACAGTCAGCGAATCGACGCACGGATGATTCATACATAATGCTCGTGAACGAATTCTGCTTGCGTAGAAGAGTGCATGTGATACTGATTTTTATTTGCTATGTTATCACATGCTAGCACAGATTACGGTGCGATAAATATAACTTTTTCAATATTTTCATATATGTACTTACCTATTTTAAAAAGAAACGAGAGTTAAACATTCAATTACACATTTTCAATCAGTAAATACCCCAAATTTAAGATTCTTCTCTGTAGGAAATAAAAAAGCCCTTGCTGTGTTTATCATCCTTTCTTTTCAGTAGTAAACCTTCCGTAAAATACAATGTATATTAATGAACTTTGAACGTCATTTTAACTTTCACGATTTCTCATTAACATAATAAGAGGAATAAGTTTTTTTTTGTCATCTTGATGATGACTTATATAACTTATATTAGCGTCAAAATGTACTAAATCGAAGCATATTTCTTTTCTTTTCATGATTAAAAGCAATGGGACAGTTGTGAAGTTTAGTATTTATAAGGCTGCTCTGAGCGAATTTCTTATCTTACTTCTGCCAGTCACACAATATCACACGTTATCTTGAAAGTGGAAACATGATTATTAATTGAATCATCGCATCGTCATCAAACTTTAATGTGGGTATAATGTGTACCTATTCGTTTATGCATCGTGCGGTCTGGTTTTATCAATTCATTTCACAATATTATAATATGCTACTAACGCACTTTATTAACTTCATCATCCAAAGGATATGTAAGTAAACAGAACACAATAAACAAATAAAATATGTATATAAGTATCACTTAATACTTGAGATTTGCTTAGCTTTAATCGCTTGCCTGTATAGAGTTAAACAGGAACAGGTATAGTGAAAATGGACGAACTTATTTTTTTCACCGTTAACCATAGATACTTTTTTTCGCTGTTACCTACTTTGAAAATATTTGTTTTACTTACTCCATGTTGTAGTTGAATTGCACAGATGTTAGCTATACATTAAACAAGTCCATTTCAAAGCAAAATATATTGATATATTGGTGTCTATACCAATCTACACCAATATAATATAAGAGTGAAATGTTATATGACAATAAAAAACAACATCGAATTAAAAATAAGTGGATACACAAGTCACCTCTTGAAGAATCTTACCTTGAAGTCACCAGCTGCTGCTACATAGATAGGTATACATTTGGACACGGAACTTTCGCCAAAACATGAACAGATCTCGGCATTATTCTATTCGTCGACTACTTGCTGAATAAAAGGGATGATGACTAACTTTTTTTTTTGCCTATCAGGTAGATTATTACAAAATTTAAGACCCGTATTAATTATTTTTCACTAATCAAAACATTACTATTATTATTACTACGATACATTGATTTGAAATGACGACCCCCAAACTTAGACGCAATTTGACTTTATATTTTTTCGTTTGATAGGCAAAGGGAAAAAATGTACATTATTTTTTGATAATCTTACTGATGGGCGTAATAGAACTTCTTTTACTTTAGGGCTTCCACACAAAACTGCGATGCCATACGACGACGCATCGCAGGAACAGGAGCAGCGATGCGAATTGCTGCGATACAATTTCGTGCGGCAAAGCCATACCTTCTTTCCTTTCCTTCATTCTTAAACTGTGACCATACCTTCAACGGTAGTCAACCATATTTGACGTGTTTAAGTAATAGTGAAATGGATTGCAAAAATATTGCAACGCTGATTTTATTTTTAAATAGATATAGGAGGAAAAGAAGATTCTGGGTTCATCCATTTATTACGATTATGAAAGCTGATGGGAGCTATTTTACTCGAAAATACTATGACTTGAGAACAGAAGAAGCGATTTTTTTATTATTTATACATCATGTCTAAAAAACGATCGTACAAGGGGCGTCTCAGAGCGGACTTTAATGGCGACAGCAAGAGTAACGTAATATTGCAGGAATGCAGCATGCGAATTACATCGAAAGTTCTTGCGGTGCATTCGTGCGAGTTCGCAGATATTTGCGATGCGATGCGAATTCGCAGCTATGTGTGGGGAGGAATTAACCAGTCATTATCCCTAATGTGTGTTTTTGCGAAAATACTTTCTCACATTCTTGTTAAAACTAAAATAAAACTCTTAATCATGTTAAAACTGAAATAACGTTTGAAACGTTTATGTATTTCCTCAATTATCCGCAAATGCGATTAAATATACGATAATTTCCATTCCGAAGTATAAGCATGTTGAAAATAAATTCAGGTTCACTTAATTTTATTTTTTCAATTCAATTACTAATGAATCAAGTTATGATATGAAGCCTTTACGATATCTTGACACATATATAAAATATCCACTGGTTATTTGTAAACTTGCGAATACAAATTACATGACCGACTACTAGATATTGCTCTGCTACTAATTACAATAAAATGGATCAATAAGTGTAACAATAAATGAAAACAATTTGGCTGTAAGAAAAACCAAAGGCCCAAAGTGGAAATGCAAGCTAATCGTTTCACTCAGTTCATGAATACTTCATTCTGGTTCTTAACTTATCGAGCATGACCTTATCCTGACATATACAAGTTTCCTATACCTTAACCTGAAAACAAGATACTATCCACTGTCAGGATAAAATAAAAAAGGCAGTATTCTGTACTATCTATACTTTTGTAACGCCAGTGTTTCCCTCTACCCAAACTTAAACAAAATACTGGTGTTGATTCTGGGATGGTTCTCTAAACTCAAAACTAACTTTAACATCAATCAATATAACATCTACTGCATTAGTTAAAATTGCAGATGATATTCGACATGGTATGGAAAAACGCAAACTTACACTGCTGACATTGCTTGACTTCACCAAAGCCTTTAACTCCATTGATTTTGACATCCTTCTTGCTATTATTCGTTCTCTTAACATATCTCCAAAGGTGATTGATTGGTTTCAAAGTTACCTGCTAGGGCGCCGGCAGCGTATACGCATAGAAGAAAACTTCTCTGCGTGGTGCGTTATTGATGCCGGTGTTCCTCAGGGTGGCGTCTTATCTCCTTTACTCTTCTCTATTTTCATAAATTCTATCACACACTCACTTTTCATTTCCTATCACCTTTACGCCGATGACCTTCAAATATACACACAGGCGCCGTTATTTGACCTTTCAGATGCATTAGCTGCATTTATTATTACTAATTCTGACCTTGCTTTGATTAGTAACTGGAGTAAGTCATTCAGCTTAACTGTTAACCCCGCGAAGACGCAAACTATTTTAATCGGCATTCCTTATTTCGCTTCCAGGATCAACTATGAATGGCTGCCTCCTGTAACTTTTGATGGGATTATTATACCCTTTTTCACAACTGTCAAAAACCTTGGTTTGATATTTGATCACTGTTTCTCTTGGAAACATTGGCTCGAAGCTATCAGGAAAAAAATATTTGCCGCATACAACTCACTTAATCGCCTACGTAACTTTTTGCCGACTAGTACTAAAATCACTCTGGCGCATACTCTTTTACTCTCCATTCTGGACTATGCTGATGTATGTTACACTGATCTTTCCGAGGAACTGCTAAGCAAGTTGGAACGTTCGCAGAATATAGCTATCAGATTTATACATAATCTCCGTAAAGGAGATTGCTCAGCTTCCATACATGTTTGGCCTAAAGACCAATAATCATGAAAAATTGTTTCCTAGATTCGAAATTATATATAAATTACTGTAGAAACGAATATTATTGACGGACACCCCTGAGAACTTCTATAAACCATATAAACTGAACATATTAAAATAATAAAAAACAAATAAGTTATATAGTAAACTAGGGAAATCTTAAAATAATAAAAAACAAATAAGTTATATAGTAAACTAGGGAAATCAAGCGAAGTACCGAAATTATGGATTAGATTCAGGTATATAGAGCATGTAGGTTAACAGATAGTTGCCTGTTTTACCCGACTGCGCAAGGCAAGAGCGCGAAGCGCGACGCGTAGACAGGGTATAGTGTTTAACAGTCTATATATGTATGTTTGTTCCTTTGTGGCACACTAGAGACCAAACGCGTGGACCGATTTTAATGATTTATACATCAATCGATTCGTCTTAATCATGG